GTTGCGGGGTGGGGAGAGGGCGAAAGGGGGAGGGGATAGGAACCCCCCCAAAAATTTGCCATTTGTGATATGATGTTCCCAGCACTTCAAAACGCACAAAAAGTACATGCTGTAGGAACAAAAAACAAAAAAAAATCTCTTAGCTAGGCTCAAATACCACGGCCTTCCGACCGCTCGTTGAAGATAGGGAGGTGCGAGCAGTGATGGTGCGAGGAGAAAGGAACCCTCGCTACTCTCTGCTGATCGAGAGATTGCAGCAAGGGAACGTCGCTACTCCCTGATCCGAGAGACTGCAGCCTAGGGGAGGGGGGGGGCAGGAGAGGGGTTGGATAAACGACAAACCCAGCCAGATCCAGTCGAGCCCGCTGTCGCTCTGGCGTATGGAATCAGGAGCTAGAAATCTCTTCCTTCCCGGCACTGGGACGGTCGTAGCTAAATAGCTGTATAGCTAAAAACAGGGACACCTTTGGGTTGGACGAAGCTCAGTAAACAGGGAGCGCCTAGTGGCTAGGCCAGCGCCTATCGAAGAGTACACGGGTGTAGCGCGGGTCTGCCTACCCTTTCTTCTGCAGGCGGGCGGGACGGGAGTTGGGACGGATGAAATAAATTCACAGAAATCCAATCATACGTTTCTATTCACGAAAGAAACAAAACTGGCAACTTATTGTAAAAATAAAGAGTTCCCAGAACTCACACAGGAAATTGGGTAATATACACTACAATAGGTGTGACAGTAAAGTCACATAAAATTCCAAAATGTTAAATTGATAGAAAGTTATGAGTGATAACTGGTAGATCTTACAATAGCTTAAAATTCACATAAAAGATTTTTTCAGAGTTTCAGTCAAATATACAGTAGACGAAAGTGGAAGTGACATGAAGGGCATTTCAATGAATTTTACTCAAAAGTGTAAACTACCTAAAAACACAAGATAAAGTTATCCAATTTTAGAAAACATTCAGAAATCATATAAAGAGGAAAAAGAAGTATTTTCAAAACGTTAATGTCTAAAAAGTTTGTTTAACCTTTTTAAAAGTTATGTGAGGTTCAAGTGCTTTTGTGGCTAAATTTTTAAAATAAAATTGACGGAAAATGCAGTACACTCTGATATTGAAAAAAGGAAATACTGATCGATTTTATGATAGGATGGGATGTTGTTATTCACAGACAATTTATTTTTCTACTTAGCTTACGTTGGTTCCCATCCTGCACACAGAGGTCTAGGAATAATCTAAATTGAACAACTCCCTAGTTCAGTTAATTAAAAATCGATTGAAGGTGGGTGGCTATAACCTTCACTTCCTATTAGGCACCTTGTCCAAAGAAACCCTGTTTTTGCTCTAGTGCTGCGGCCTTTTCTCACTAGGCCGCTTCAATCAGACTGAATACATAATTGATAAAAATTTCGATATGTTTGATTGGTCAGATTTACTCGAGGGTCCCGCGACGAGATTCACACTCAATCTTTGGTGATGGTGATAGCGCACAAAATCCTCCTCCTCCTTGTCATTATCATCACTTTTGCACAGTGCAGGGTATGGATGGGTGGGGGCGACAAAGTATGACAATCTGCGCGGGGCGCTGACTTCGAACACCAGCCGGGCAATGCCGCCGCCGCCCTGCGGTTCAGTTCCCTTATAAACTAAATGCAGCTGTGAGAATTGTAAACCTAGCAAACACCAGGATGAAGGCAGCTTGAGCCGCCGTCTGTCTCGGTGCCGTCGTGTCCGGTTGACAGCGTGGTGACTGGGAGTCACAGACGCACGTTCGGTGCGCTGCTGCAGCGAGTACTACTAATCCGTCAGATCAGATGCAGATGGTCCAGCGGTTGTTGGAGGACGCCCGCACCGGGTCCAGCCAGGGGTGCGTGAGCCGCTCCGCCGCCGAGGCCCGGAGCTGGGGCCGCAGGTCCAGCATGGGGCAGACGAAGTCGGCGAATCCCTGCGCCTCCTCGCGGCCCCACTCGTACTTGTCCTCCAGCACGCTCCGCAGCGGCCAGGGCCGCAGCTTGCCGATGTTGCGGAGTGCGCCTGCGAGGAGGTAAATATGTGTACACTCAGCCAAAAATTCAGAGAAAAAAACACGGAAAATCAAGCAAAAATAACGAAAAAATAACGGAAAAAAAAAGAATTAAAAAATGTATACTCTTGCACATACTGTATCGTGCGTGCCTCGCGTCATCCTCACCTTTGCTGTTGAAGAAGTGTTTGGAGTGCTTGCCGTTGGTGACGAGGTCTTTGGGCAGTGGTCCCAGCAGCTCCATGATGTGGGCCAGGTGGTCCTCGTCCCGCGAGTACGTGGCCCCGGAGCGCGGCTCGAATAGGTAGTCGCCCGTGAGGAGCTCGAACGCCTGGGAACGTACGGGAGTGCACGTATCAGAAGTGTACTTGGTTTGGGGTCACCTGCCTGCGCCCTGACCGCCCAGTTCGTCGTTGAGCCATGTGGTACTCACCATACACGCGAGGCTCCAGATGTCGGCAGAGGTGCCGTACTTGGCGCCGAGGATGACCTCGGGACACCTGTACTGCCGCGTCTGGATCTCGTCCGTGAAGGTGTGGAACTGCAGCAGGGGTACCAGTAGACAAAGTTAGTAGCGGCTGTGCCGGTCAACACAACCAACCTTTTAAGCGGACGCCCGCTGCCGCCCTTACCGTCCAGCAGGCGTTGCCCAGGTCGGCGATCTTGACGTCGAACTCGACGAAATCAGTCTTGGCGGGGTCGCAGTCCGGAGATGTGTCGTCCAGCCCGCCACCCGCCCCCATCCCCGACGAGGCCAGCTGGACGGGCGGGGACGGGTCCGGGGCGGGGCACGACGACGCCCTCCGCGGACTGCCTTCTGTCGGACATAGTCAGTCAGCGCGCGGCCCTTCAACAAAGCCGACCATCTCCTGCCCTGCTGTAGACTCACCCGGGGGCGCCTGCTCGTCGTCGGCGGAGGTCGCGGCCACGCTGGCGCCGCGCGCCACGTTGGACCGCGGCCGGTAGCACGCCGGCGAGGACAGCAGCGACGTGGCCGGCGGCTCCCAGTCCTCCCAGTCGTGCTCGGAGCGCACGGAGGCCAGCGGCATCTCGTCCAGGCTGTGGTGCTTGTCGGTGTGGATCTCGGGCGCCGCCGCCACCTTCTGCCTGGAGGAGCCGCCGCTGGCCGCGGCCGCGCTCGCGCCGTTGTCCTGGCGCCGCTCCCGAGACTTGGACAGCGGCGGCGCCACGCCCCGGGGCCCGCCCCTCGCCAGCGAGGACTCGCCCTGCTCGTGCGTGTGCCGCCGGTGCTTGGTGTGCGTGCGGATGTGCTCGCCCGACCGCTGCACGTCCGGCTTGCGCTTGCTCGAGCCGCCCATGCTGCTCCCGCTCTCCGACGTGGGCGCCGGCAGCTTGGCGGGGAGGTTGGCCACTGCAGGGGGAGCAGAGAGAGAAATGTTTAGAGCGGCCACGTAACTAAAAGGCAGTCAGCAGAGATGAGCTTTCAAGTTCGGTCATCGCCTGACCACCAGCAGGTGAGAGGGAAAGAGGTGAGGAGTACCCTATCCTACTCGCTAAAATGCTCATCTATTGCACTTAGACCAGGAATGAACAGCTCGAGGTTCGTAAGATTCAGAACGTTCTCAAGACCACACACAATCAGTGAATCCTTTTGTTAACAGTCGGGACAATAATGACGGCATGCAAACGTACCCATGGATCGTGGCATGCTGACCCGGTGGCCACCGCGCCCGCCGGTCGATCCGGTCTGGCGGCAGCGGTCGTGCCACTTCATGGCCTCGAGCGCGAGCTTGCGGTGGTACTCGGGCGAGGCCACGAGCACGATGTTCTCCGGCTTGATGTCGGTGTGGATGATGTGGCACTTGGTGTGCAGGTAGTCGAGCCCCTCCAGCACCTGCTTGATGATCCGCTTCACGTTGTGCAGCGGCAGCCCGCTGAAGTGCGTCCGGTTGATGAGGCGCAGCAGGTTGCAGCCCAGCATCTCCATCACCATGCAGACGTGCATGCCGTAGATCCCCTCGACGCGGAAGTCGTCCAGCAGCAGCACGACGCGCCGGCGTCCGGGGTCCGAGGGGTCGGCGTTGCGCACCTGCGAAAGGAGAGGGCGATGACGGAGGGAGCCTTTTGGGCAGCGGGACGGCGCTCAGGGGGGGGCGCCGTCTGCACATGGCTGCTCGGCGGGCTGGCCTACCCATCGCGCCTCAGGGGTCCTCGTTTGCGTCGCTTTTGGGAACGTACCCCAGTTCAGTACAGTACCTGAGATTCTTGCACAGCACTCACCCTCTTAAGAAGTCTTATTTCATCCAGAGCAGTGTCGGTGTAATGGTGAGCACTTTTCACGACCTTGAGAGCTGCGAACCTCTTCACCCTGACAAAACAATAAGCAGTTTAGTTTTCCATTTTACTGTGTCCGACGTGCGGCTGTTGCTTGATCACAACTACTTACGCCTTGTCCCTGCATAGCCACACCGTGCTGAAGTGACCCCAGCCCACCTTGCAGTACACTTGGTAGCGGCCGTGGAACAGGTCGTTGATGCGCACGGGGTGGTAGCCGCCTGCGACAGACGACACGACGGCTCGTCAGTAAAGGGGCGTCAGTCGCGCCAAGAGAGCGTCGAGCTCATGGGGGGCACTCACCCGTGCAGTAGTCGGAGGGGCTCTCCTGCTCCTCGCGGTCCTCCGGCAGCAGCGGCTCGTTGTCCGAGACCAGGGCGGCGTCATCCAGGTCCTCCGACTCGCGCCGGCCGCCCTCCGAGCGCACCTCCGACCTGCGGGGCAAAAGAAGCAGGGACATCATGATGCGAGGGCGACAGCTTGCTTTTGTCACGTCCAAGACAAACAAAATAAAACGAGTAGAAAGACAGAAAAATCAAAGTGATTTGAGCCTCATGCAACGCCAGCGTCACGCGTTAGTTGGTGGCAGTGAGCAGGGAAGCGTCCATAAACCATTTTGCGCAGCGAGCACTCGGCGTTAATGCGCGCCTCGCAGGGGCCAGGCGGCGGCGCCCCGGGGGACCACAGCCAGGGTGAGCGTGGCAGCGTTACTGTTGTTGACGGGCTCGCGGTTCGCTTCACGCAGGCCCATGCAAGCCTCGCCCATGCACCGGTCCTCGGCTCGCACTCACACCGTACTCGCCACGCCGCGAGCTCGGGGACGGCTGACTTGACCTTCCGGCGCTTGCGGATGCGGGGGAGCTTGCCGCCGTGCGGTGCGTCCGTGTCCGGCTGCGTCGCGCTGCCCGGGGCGTGCTGGGCGGCGGGCGCGGGGGCGGGCGCGGGGGCGGCG